GCGATACCTTGCAATTGAATATCCTCATAAAACCTCACACTTGCTGGTCTAGTAATAGTAGGTCGCATTCTATAAGCATTTTTATCCACACTGAAAATTATGCTATTAGGGTAACGGGGTAATGACAGTAGTTTAGCCATGTAACAGTAAGTTAACTGTTTTCTTCTCGTATCAAGTGGTGAAATTCCAGATTCGCAATGTAAGCTGGCTACCGGACTCGTAGGAAATGCTCCTATACAATACCTTATAGCAGCATGCTGCACAGGATCTAATATTGTCAGTAACGTTTTACGTGCCGACGAATAGGCAATGCTACCATAATCCATTTGGGATCTTATGAGCGCTTGATAAATTCGAATAAGGCAGTTAGCATCTGCACCCCATTGTTATACGCTAATACTTTAGTAGTTGAGTACTGATTGACGCATTTAGTTTCAAGTGCTCTAAATGATTCTCCAACGCATTGTGTTTTTTCGTGTGAAAAACTTAAACCTATATTTTCGGCATTCCCAACAATTTGATTGATTACAGGTTGTAGTTTGCGAGTTATTTCTCCTACCGTTTTCCCTGATGTGAAGATGGCTATGTCGTCAACGTACATGCATTTAGAAATGTTTTCTGGTGTATTAGAGCATATGTCATTTATTGCTATAGCAAATAGAGTACAACTGAGAGTCGATCCCTGAGGAACTCCATTCTCCAAAAGCTTATCATCGGAGAACTTATCACCAACTCTTACACGGAAACGCCTGTTTGTTAGGAAGGACTTCACTAACAATGGTAAGTTACCTCTCAAGTTATATTGGTACATTTTTTCTATTATGCCATACCTCCATGTCATATCATACGCGCCCTTCACATCAAAGAAAACAGCCACCAGATGTTCTCTTTTGCGGAATGCCTCTTGTATGCAGTGCTCTAAAAGAATCAGATGGTCGGTGGTAGATCGGTGTTTCCTGAAACCAGCCTGATATGGCACTAGGAAGTTGTTTTTCTCCAAATACCACTGTAATCGATTATTTAGCATCCTCTCCATGATTTTACCCATGCAACACGTCAAACTGATTGGTCGATAACTAGTTGCAGACAATGGATTTTTTTTGGGTTTTAAGATTGGTATCACCACTGCTTCTTTCCATTCATCTGGGTAAGTACCCTCTGCCCATAATTTGTTATACAGATACAGTAACGATTCTTTCATTTCAGGCGTCAGATTCTTCAGCATCTCGTTTGCTATCTGGTCAGGTCCAGGTGCTGTGTTCCTGGCCTTTTGTAAAGCAAACTCCATCTCCAGCATTGTAAAAGGTAGGTTGTATACAAGATTATCGGATGTATAGAATGGTAGTTCAACCTCTCTTTGATTTTTTGTTTCAGAAAAGGTGGGGGGATAGTTTCCGGAGCTACTAACTACTGCAAACTGATTGGCCAAAGCGTTCGCGATTTCTTCTGGTTTTTCCAAGACTAGGTCTTGTGTTTGTAATGAATGTATACCTTGACTTTTATATTTGCCACATATGGATCTTATTTTTTTCCAGGTATCGCCCACATCAGCATTTGCATTGATAGTTGACGTATATTTAATCCAACTTTGACGCTTACTCTCAAATACGACTCGTCTGCTTATTGCTCTCGCTCGTTTGAAGTTGATATGGTTTTCAACGGTAGGTTGCCTTTGGTAGAGTCTAAATGCAACACTCTTGTTTCTGATGGCTACTTTTACATCCTGATTCCACCATGGAATGGGTCTCTTCACAGGCTTGTTTCCAGTCTTTGGTATGCTCTTCATCGCTGCAACCAATATAGTCTTGATAAGAAGGAAAATACTGTTGTGGAAGTAGGTAATGAAAACTTCTTCCAAATTATACGTCATTTATTAGTACCCCTAGCAGGATTAAAGTTGTAAGAATTTATTATTGTAGAGAAATTGGTTCCCCTCCCCTCCATTATAAAATTGACCCCGTTTTAGATCTTCGTCAAAACATTTATTGCACAGTGTTTTAGGAAAGTGGAAATTTAATGGTTACTCTTTTCATAGTTTCATTTGGGTGTAGCCGAGGGTGTAGCTTTCTCAATACGCATAATTATGCTGCAAATTGCATCAAGGTTAGGGTAGAGGTATAGCTATTATATCTATCTTTCAGCAATTATACCGCTGATGGTAATACGACTAATACGTATATCGTTCGTTTACTTAAGGTAAGAGCGCTATAGTTGAAGTTTTTATAAAGCAACGATTCAAACTTGGTGGTTGTAAGTTCTGGAATAATTCCAGTTAAATACAAAAGCAAGTACAAATGAAAATAAGCTACACACCCACTGCACCCACCGACCTTATTTTTATGTCATAATTCAAAAATGGCAATAATAAAAACATACTTACCGACATGATATTATAATATACAATGAAGTATGCACTGCCCAAGTTGAAACAAATTCAAAAATAGTTCACTTTTACTAAAAAAAACGTCGTGCACCGCTTGTAAACAAATTGCAAACGGAAATGATTCATCAAGTTCAAGTCGATGCAAACCGGTCGCACTTGCCACTCTCCGCATGTCACTGACTATCACGTGATGGTTTGTCGTTCCCGATTGTGAAAACAGGTGTTACATATTTTGGGCATAAATTTTGCGTCTATGAGACGTAACTGTTTTGTTCGATCACGCACAGAAAAATCGTATAAGTTATGAATCAATTGTGTTTTGTTCACCTCTATTATGTGCAACATGTACGTAAATGAAACATTTTACAATAAATAAGTAATTTGCAACAAACGCGTATCTAATAAACGTTAACGCCTTACGTGTAGGGTACGCAACAAACATGTACCATTAAATGTAGCCGATGCATATATTGAATGAATCCAGTTACACTCTTTTTGGGTATTTTTTATGAAACATATTTCAGGGTAAATTTTTATGTTTTACCTAATGCATTTTAAACGTAATCAATGCGCAACATTCAAACGTACCAATGTAGACATGTTTGCGACAAAATGGTACGTAACAAATACGTTCTGTGTTTGCTGGGTGAGTAAGGTTAATGAGGTTACTTTAAATTAGTGCGGTTATGTTTATATTTGGATGTGTTAAGGCGGTTGCACATCAAACGTAAACGAAATCATAAANGAAAAGGGCACTGTGAATTTTGAATCGATTCGATTCAAATTTTGGCATTGCGTATTATATGGTTAAAGCTATGCCCATATTGAATTTCATGCAATTCAGTTCATAACTAACGGAGATGTAAAAGCGATCGAACATTTCTAACAAAGTTACCGTTCACACGGACAGATAGATGAACAGACAGACAAAGGAACAGACGGACAGACCAACCGGCAGGCGACAGATAGCAATGCAAAATTATAAACGATCTCTAGGATCGTTAATAAACGGCAAAAGTGTAAAATTATGGAACATGTAAAAAACGGTTTTTTTGTTTTTTTACAATAACTTTTTTTGTAAGCGGTACAGAAAAAATTCCTTCCTTGGTACAAGACTCGACACCATAACGAACCAAATAGCGAAAAAAGTAGAACAATAGCTCCTAAGATAAAGAACTAGTAGCGTCGCAAAACGAGCGGACGGACGGACGGACGGACAAAGTGGCCACAATAGCGCATTTTTTTTTATTTTTGTGGGAATGCGCTAAAAAGGCAGATTCTTACAAAATGTATTTACGATTTCGCGACGCCAACTGGAAATCCCTAACCCAATCGATTACAAATCTGTGAACGACGCGGTAACTACTTTTTATGAAATTGTATACAAGATGTTTTATGAATGCGTCCCAAAAGTAACTTATTATTATTATTATTATCCCTCTCTTGTTTTGGGCCCTCAACAGGCTTGCGCCCAATTACAGAGTGACCCGCATAATGCTATTCAGAGGTGCCTCTGCAGAAGGTCTTAAGTTGGTCTATACTACTCCGGTATTTACCTTACGAATTAAGAAAACTGCAGGAAAACCTAATTCGGAGTAGCCGGTAGAATGCTCGGAACTGGTCTAAGGTAATTTCCATCTCCGCCACAGATAAAAAATTCACCTCAACCCAGGCTCGAACACCCGACCTCCGGATTTATAACCCAATGCTCTACCACTGAGCCATTAATCCGATCAGGATATAACCTTGTATTTGGGGTTGTAAGGATGTGCCGGTGCTCCAGATAAGCGGGAACTGGGTCTCGTGGGTTGGGGTTCTCTTGGTTTTTAATTTGGGCGCCAACCTGCCTGATATCTGCTTAGTGATTACCCAATCGGCAGGTAAATCGGGCAAGACAATAAAACATCAATCCTACAACTAGCATGAGAGATAAGTATACTGCAGTTAATAGATAACGGTAAGTATTTACAGTAATTATTTGGTTAATTATAATTCTTTAAAGGTAATTAGGTACCTCTAGCGAATGACCATTCACTCTCACATTTGTCTTAACGAAAATATAAGTATCACAGTGATAACATCACACATATAATTAAGATTACTTTTATTCTACTTGCAGGATGGACGGCGATTTGTAATTTATTTTTTTTTTTTTTTTTTTTTTTGCCTTTATTATTTTATTAATTAAAATTATCATGTCTAACAATAATGTAAGTGATATGGATTATGTTGTGGAAAAGTATTGGCTTATCTGTTTTGATGTTTCCAGGTACGCTAAACGGAAATGGCTGACCTCCTCCGATAAGGCGCTGCAAGGCCTTTTAGTCCAAGAGCCCAGTAGGAAAGTATACCTTGAACGCCCGGACGATTCTAATAATTTTCATTGGATTCGCCATAAAAAGTTGTATTAGAATCGACTTCGCCCCTTATTTTTGGAAAATGTACTTTAAGGCGGAAACACATTACTGTCACGTCACGTGAGCTGACGTGCTATCACACAAACTCACGTTACCTGCGCAATATGTGCAACTCCACTGACGTATAGAAGTTTATGACGTTTATGTATTTAGAATCATACTACTGTCACCTCACGCATTCACGACGTGCTGTTCTGATCTCGCATGATATCACGCCTCCGATATCCCGCAAAATTACATTTTGTAGTAGAACGTGACATCACGTCAAGTGTTTTCCGAAGTGGTTTCGTCAAGAAAAGATGGACGAACATTTAATTGAACTGGTGAGACAGCACGAAGGGCTATACAATCACTCCTCTGCCGAGTACCGGGATCAGAGGGTTCGACAAGAAGCTTGGGAGGAAATTGGTAGAATCTTAATTCAATATTTCGTGGACTAATTGACGAAATTCCCCCACTTCTTCTCTTCGATGATTTATGTGGTGAATCCAAACAATGCGCTGTATTCCATTAGCCAGTATAAAAGCAGCCACGTATTTTCTATATCCTCTTCCTCGTCTAAAGAACTTGACGAAGAAGAATCTCTACTTTGCTTCATCGCTACTAATGACTAAATGCAAATCTTAAATTGCAACGACAGCTACCGCGCGACACCGTGAGCGCACACAAGTGTGTCTCCTAGCGTGACATCACGTGAAGGTATGCTTGACGTGATAGCACGTGACGTGACAGTAATGTGTTTCCGCCTTTATTGTCCCGGACGTTCAGGAAGAGTACTAAAGGGTGCATATGGATGAGTTTTATCGGAAAAAGTCACGGTGCCGGGGCGCAACTTGCCGCAACCCTTGGCACCGCGACTACAAATGGGGTGGTAAATCGTACCAAACTACCTTTTTCTCCCGGACCAAAATGACCTATATGAAATATGTAGCTTGCGATTATACGAATATAAAAAACCAACNTTCGCGCGCGCCCGGATTCCATCGACGGTGCCGAGGACTTCCGGCATCCTGAGAGTCGGCACCGTTGGTTTTTTATATTCGTATAATCGCAAGCTACATATTTCATATAAGTCATTTTGGTCCGGGAGAAAAAGGTAGTTTAGTACGATTTACCACCCCATTTGTAGTCACGGTGCCAAGGGTTGCGGCAAGTTGCGCCCCGGCACCGTGACTTTTTCCGATAAAACTCATCCATATGCACCCTTTAGTACTCTTCCTGAACGTCCGGGACAATAAAGTACATTTTCCAAAAATAAGGGGCGAAGTTAATTTTTTTTAAATTGCTTTCGGCAGGATTTTCGCCGGCACCGTTGTCGATTCTAATACAACTTTTTATGGCGAATCCAATGAAAATTATTAGAATCGTCCGGGCGTTCAAGGTATACTTTCCTACTGGGCTCTTGGACTATTTGTGCGAAACTGATATTGCGATACATCTTGCAATTACTCTCCTTAATTACCCTTTTTGGAAATGATGACGGTAGCTAGCAGGATGCAACCCCTGGACTGCATGAAGCGGCAGATAAAAAGATCAACTGTTAGAGCCTTTTAGTTTTTGGGCGGCTCTAATAGATAACTTAGGATTCTCCTAATACGATTATTATTTGCAGGTACATATATTTACTTTGACGAATTTGATCTTTTAGGGATTACAATATCTACGCCATACAGAATTTGGATATTAATATTAATACGTAATAATTTGGCTTCGATGATAGCGTTTACTTCGTTCGCTCTCTACCGCATACCCATTTAACGTCTCCGCGCGCGTTTCCCCTACCTTTATATTTAAATATCGCCAAACTAACAATGCCGCGAATTTTGAATGTTACAAGGATCACAAACAAGTACCTCATTTGGTTTGATTTAGCTATTATCAAGACAATTAAATTGAAGAATAAACATCGCACACGAGGCAAATCGAAAGAATTTACGGAAGACCGAAAGGAAATTGCACTTAACCAGTATACAAGAAAGTGAGTTACT